TTTCTGATGTTAAAGTCCAGCTTTTTTTTCACACTCTGTGGAAGTATTTTGGTCAATACATGGTTTAAAATATGTAATAATGACATCTATTTTGTTTCAAGTTAATGAAAATACTATCCCACAAAGTCCAATTTTAAACGTCACCTAACAGCTTCCAATATGTGACTATATAAACTGCATTTTATTTGTGAGTCTGCTACAAACTCAGCAAGGTACCTTCTATTTTTTTTCCCAGTTATGTTGAATAAAATGGAAGATTAAGAGTGAGTGTCCCCTATTGAGAATTAAGTCTGTGAGAAACCAATCATCCATAAACCTTCTAACTTCAGAGGACTGTCTGAACGAATCCAAACAGTGCCAAACTTGGCTGGTGTACGGTCTCCTGGGCTTCGATTTCTGTGCAGCTTTCGAGTTACATAAGCTGTTTTCCAAGAACAAATAAAACTGTTCTTGAGGGAGTGCGCCTGTGTTGAGCTTTTCCTTAGGAAGCAGCGTGTTTTTTTCTTACGCTGACATGCGTGTCCCACGTCACATGAACACTCTGCCCCACCGCCTGGATTTCTGCCCTGGGTCTCAGCTACACGGTTTCCCCACCCATTCCTCTTGTCTCAGACAAACCAGGGGCTGGCTGGCACATCTGCCCATATGAAGCACGTTTTAATTCTCTTCGTCATACAGAGAAGCTGTGCCTTTTTGAAGACCGGTTTTCTCGGGGTGCATGCCCAGTAGTGGGATTGCTGGGTCATTACAGTAGCTTTATGCCTAGTATTTTAAGGATCCTCCAGAGTGGCTGTATCAGTGTACATTCCTACCAACCGTGCAAGACGGTTTTCCCTTTATCTCCACATCCTTTCCAGCATTTACCGTTTGTCATCTTTTGATGATGACCATTTTCATGGGTGTAAGGTCATACCTCATTGTAGTTTGATTTGCAGTGCTCGAATAATGAGCGATGTTGAACATCTTTTTTATGTGTGCTGGCCATCTGTATGTCTTTGTTGGAGAAATGTCTGTTTAGGTCTTACACCCATTTTTGATTGGGTTGTATATTTCTGCTAAGCTGCATGTCTATGGACTTATAAATACAGGAGGGGAAGGAGAGGGTGGGATGAGTTTTTTTTTGCTTCTGTTGAGCTCTTAGACTTAGATCGGTGGTCTTTACTGAGCACTTTGGACATGAGTGTGCTTTTCATACTAAAAGCATCATCTTGTAAGATATTTACAACAACATGGAAAGCACATTAAATGTGTCTTATCTTTAATTTAGAGATAAGGAAAAATTGAATCTTGGGAAAAAAAAGTTTACGTACCTTGCCTGAAGTCAAATGGCTAGGCAACTGTGGTGTTGATCTTTGATAATAAGTTGCGGACCACAAAGCCAGTAGACTTAGCTCTGAGCCTCTGCCACACAAATTGTGGTCTTTTATTTTTGAACATAGGAGAGAGGTGCTCACGTTCCGCATCAGTCCAGTGGAATTGACCCAACTGGTGTAATTCTTATTTTACCTGCCTTTTGAATAGGAAGTTTCTAATCAATTATTTTACAACGAACTGTGGTAAAGAGGGAAGGACGTCATGGGCTCCGAGTCCCAGAGGCATCGCCCACTGGCTGTGACACCATGAACAAGTCCCATGACCCCCCAGAGCCCCATTTCCCTTGTCTGTAAAAGTCAGATGGCACATTTGTTGATAATTTATGTGGATATTAAAGGAGATAACCTATGAAACCAGTTTGCATAGGTCAAGGCACATAGAAAATGACTCCTAACTGCTCATCTGTAAGTGATAACTTTCTTCTCTCCCAGTCATAGAGATTTGTGTCTCAAGTGCTAATATGATTTTTAAAATTCTAGGCAATAATTAGGGAGAGGCAGCACAAAAGGAAAATTGATATTTAACAGTTTTTTTTTAATACACATGAATTTTATATAGGTGAACACAAATTAGCATTAAGTTTTATCACAAGGGCTGGCGCGGTCCCAGAACAGTGAAGGGAAATTGCAGAAGGCAGTGGTGTAAGCTGGATAATATTGTTAGTAAAATGGGAAGAGGTGCTGGGAGCGTGTGCGTTCACAAAAATCACATCAGTGGTCAGGCCCTTCCTGCTGCTTCTTGGCAGCAAAACTCCTCTCAAAATACAAGGCTGTGTTGTCATTCATGTGGGAGGAAGCTCACCTTCCCAGGAGAGATCAGTGTATGAACAGGATAAAGAGCAGTGGACTCAGAAGTCAGGAGGACTGTTTTCTGTTGGGGGTTCTGCACTCAGGATTTTACCTCGAGCAAATCCCTGAATTTTCCTGGACTTGGATTTTCCATCTGTAAGATGAAAATGGTTGGACTTTCTAGGAGTCAAACCTCGATTTAATGGCCTGTGGACACAGTGAGCCGGGGCTTCCTCAGCCCACGGCAGCCTCAGAACAGTGAGGCTCACCTGGTGACTCAGAACAAGGGAGGCAAGAAACTGCCCCCAGGGTCTTAAAGGGTGTGCCCGAAACAGTGTCACAGTACTGGCCCTCATCAGCCAGAGCAGTCACCAGCCAGCCGGGTGTGAAAGGCTGGAACCTAGAGCCCTGCTTCTGAAGGCAGGCTCTCCAATAATTTGCAGTGGTCTTCAGTCCTCCACGGCCCTTCTGGAACCCAGACATTCTGGCTTCTCCCTAACAGCCCAGGTGGCGCTAGTGGTAAAGAACCTGCCTGTCAATTGCAGAGACTTAAGTGGCAGGGGTTCAATCCCTTGGTCGGGAAGATCCCCTGGAGAAGTGCATGGCAACCCACTCCAGTATTCTTGCCTGGAGAACCCCATGGATGGAAGAGCCCGGCGGGTCACAGTCCATGGGATTGCAGAGTCGGATATGACTGAAGCCCTTGAAAGTGAAAGCGTTAGTCGCTCAGTTGTGTCCGTAGGGTCCCCCACCAGCGAGCAAATGGGACTCCAAGGCCAGATTTGACCAAGGTGACCTTTATGGCTCCCAGTTTTGCCAGGAGTCAGTCACTAAATAAAGAAGACATATGTTATTAATTAGTGTTATTAATTAGAGGATCACCCATTGTCAGAAAGTGCACATTGGCTCAGATTACATCAGAGAAATATGCGCCAAGGTCAAACAAAACCATTTCTGGGACTTCTAAAGAAAATACTGTGAATCAATGAAAATGAATTTCTTCTGGAAAATGCAATGTAAAGTATCATTCTCTTTGAACTAATCATGTGTCCGAACATCACCTGATAGGATGTTGTGTGGATCTCTGTAGCTAACCTGAAGTTTCTCTCTCAAATGAGAAGAGATACCACCCCTTTGAGGAGGGCAGGGCAACCCACTCCGGTATTCTTGCCTGGAGAATCCCATGGACAGAGGAGCCTGGCAGACTACAGTCCATGGGGTCACAAAGACTCAGACATGACTGAAGTGCCTGAGCGCCAGGCACGCATGACCCTTTTATCACAGAACTTCTGAGGGAAAGCACTGTTTTCTGTCGAAGGAGTGAGGAATGAGGTCCGTTTGAGGGAGGAGCCATCTGGCGAGGCTGGGGGGTGGGTGTCAGGAACATAAGATGCTGAGGGTCGGGCCCCTCAGCATGGCTGTCCTCTTGCCCTCTGTCTGTCCCCTGCCTGGCCAGTGTCTGCTTCCCCTGCAACCTGCTCGCATAACTGACCTGCCTAAGCACTTGCCCCAGGCCCCATGCTGAGTCACTTCAGTTTTGTCCCACCCTCTGCGACCCTATGGAGGGTGGAAATTCACCAGGAAAGAATACTGGAGTGGGTCACCACGCCCTGCAGGGGATCTTCCCGACCCAGGGATGGAACCTGAGTCTCCTACCTTGGCAGATGGGTTCTTTACCACTAGAGTCAGCTGGGATGCCCACCCCGCCCCCCTGGTGCTTACTCTAATCAAAGGGGTGCTGAGGAGCCTCTGGCGCATCTGCTGGTTGCCCTGGTAACTAACGCGCCCTCCTGATGTCCATCCCGCTGTAACTGGCGATCTCCGCCCCTCCCCAGCAGACACTGCTGCTGAGTTGCCGCACACCTGAGCATCGCTCCAGGACCTTGCTTCCAACATGTGCGCGTCCCCATCCTTTAAACCAGGGCCCCCCAACCTCTGGGATCGAATGCCTGATGCTCTGAGGTGGAGCTGCTGTAATAACTGTAGAAATAAAGTGCACGATAAATGTATTTGAATCATCCCCAAACCATCCGCCCCACCCCATCTGTGGGAAAATTCTCTTCCACGAAATCGGTCCTGGTGCCAAAAAGGTTGGGGATCGTGGCCTTGAAACCGCTGATGTCTCTGACTCTGGGCTCTTCAGTCTAGAGGCTGGGCAAGTACAGGGTTTATAGGTCTGGGGGTGCAGCCCAACAGACACTCAGACGGGTGAAAATGAAGTGCCATCTTGCGTTTGGTGCTATTTTGGGGTGTCTGTTTCTGACAGGGGTTGCACCTCCATTTTTTGAGTTATTTTACAGTTCAGTAAATTGTAGAACGCTGGTAGTCATGCAGGTAATTCTTGCTTATCGAAGTGCAGATAAACGTGTCTGGTGGAATAGAATGGATCACCGCTGTGGTTCTTCACCCACGTTCCTGACCAACTGTAAGCTCCTTGAATTCCCCTTGGAATGGGTCTTTCGTCTTTTCATTTCCTTCTTAATTAATGAGATTAATTGTTTACAAGTGTTCATTTCATGTTTTTTAAGTCGCGATTTTCCTTACTTAAAAATGATGATCCTTGGGCTTCCCTGGCGGTCCAGTGGTTAGGACTCAGTGTTTTCCCTGCGGTGCCCCCGGGTTCAATCCCTGGTCAGGGAACTAATACCCTTCAAGCCGCCCAGCGCAGCCCCTTCCCCCCGCTCTCCCCCCAAATGATATCTTGAAACAGCATGTTATGCAGGAACCTGTAACAGAGTCTATTATATGTCACTCATATTTAACCCTGAACTTTTTCAAGAGCCGATTTGAATTGAATATCTTAAGTAAAGCCTGAGACACAGTTTCTTTTTCTTTTAGCTTCAGACAAGCTTGACGGAACCCATGACGTTATCCAAATCGATCTCTCTTCCTCGCAGCGCCTACTGGCACCACATCACCCGGCAGAGCAGCGTTGGAGAAATCTACAGTTTGCAAGGCAAGTAGCGCCGGAAACACCCCGCCTGGGCTTCCTGGGGGCGGAACCAGGAGCCACGCCGTTTGCTTTGTATTTGCCCCACTTGCTGCTCCTCCATTTCCGTTTATCTGCTGTCCGCGGCCACAGTGGGAGCTCTGAGACTTACCGTGGCTTTTCTAAAGTTATTATTTCATAGGCCTACGGTAAAAATTATCCCAAAGCTAACCAAGGGCTGAGGAGCCGCTTTGGCGGAGGAACTGGATTGAAAAAATGATACAAAACATTGTCAGAAGCTAAAAGTAGCTACTACCAGGGTCTGTTTCCTGCTGTGTCTTACAAAGGGTTTCCCCCTTAGCCTCTTTTTGCCGTAAGAGGGTTGAATATCTGTTCAGGAGGCTGACTGCTGGCTCCGCAATGAAATGCTCCATGATCTTTCTCATAGTTTTAAGGTTTAGCTGAAGCCTTGACCTGAAAACCATTTGGGAGGGAGCAAGGCAGCAGGAGACGAGTGTAAGTCTGTTGCCTCTGTATTTTTCCTAATGGTAAATGGTTGATTGACTGTATAGACGTGGCTTAGCAGATGAATCAGATTAACAGTGGCAGGTATTTGATCAATAACAGCAGAACTCAGCTTCCACGTTTCTCTTCCTGTTTCTTCCCTTCTGTGCTCAATGAATAAACTTATCCTTCAAATAAAATATTCAGCTGCAAGAAACTAATAACCTACCAAGACAGGAGAAAGCAGGAACTAGGAAAAATAAGGCTTAAAAACACACACACAGAGATGAAAACTCTCATCAGACAAACCTTTTTTTGAGGTTTGAATGTACGAGGTGCCCAATAAATACCAGGTGAAGGAATAACTGTTATACCCTTCAATGTAATTAGGCACTCAGAATATTCTTCTTTTTATTTGAGACTTGTTGGAGAACAGCGGTGATTTACACAATTAAACAGAATCAATAAGTGATTAGATATTCTGATTTATCTCACTAATATTTCCAGTTAAGGGTTTCAAATGCCATATTAGTTATGATCTATTTATTTAGATGATTGTGTTGGGGAGGAAAAATGTACCTTCTACCCTTCAGGGTTCTTTGGCTGGTCTAATAATTAAGTTGATGTGAGATTAACAGGAGAAAAATAAATGTAATGGTATACATTACGGATTCCCATGAGACCTAAAGCCAAGAATGGTGTCTGAGGCTTATACAGTGTTCTGAGCTAAGGGAAGGGACGGGGCCTCGGGCTTCCAAGGGCAGAGGTGGGTGGCAGGACAGAGGTGACAAAAAGAGCAGGTGTTTGGTAATTAGATGTTTGCCCTGCCACACAGATCGGTCCTTCTGATAGAAGCTATCTCTGATAACAGCTCCGTGTCTGAGTCAGGCGCTCAGTCTGGATTCTGTTAGGCAATTAAGCGGGAGATTAAAAACTCTTCCTGAGTCTTCTGGGCCTTGACTGTCTTTGGCTCAAAGTAATACACTTGCCAAAGTGGCATGTTTTGGGGAGGCTCGTTCTGAACCCCTTCAATCTCAATGTCACATTCTTCTCTGGCTGTTGTTTGTAGCTAACAAAAAAATATGCACTGATGAAGGTAATTACTGTAAGTCAGAGAACTATAGACTGTAGTCAATGCAGGGTACATTTCACTCTGCTGGGCATTTATTTTTGCCTTGCATACCTTGCAAGGCATGCCTTGCATATTTTGCCATGCATTTTTGCCTTGCCTGTGTGCTCAGCTGTGTCCAACTCTGAAACACCATGGTCTGTAACCCACCAGGCTTCTCTGTCCATGGAGTTTTCCAGGCAGAAATATTGTGGAGTGAGTTGCCATTTCCTCCTCCAGTGGATCTTCCTGACCCAGGTATCAAACCCATGTCTCTTGCATCTCCTGTATTGGCAGGCAGGTTCTTTACTGCTGCGCCAGCTGGGAAGCCCAAATAAAGTAAAAGTGAGAAAGTTGCTCAGTTGTGTCCAACTCTTTGCAACCCCATATACTATACAGCCCATGGAATTCTCCAGGCCAGAATACTGGAGTGCTAGTGTGGGTTGTCATGCCCTTCTCCAGGAGATCTTCCCAACCCAGAGAGCGAACCCAGGTCTCCCGCATTGCAGGTGGATTCTTTACCAGCTGAGCCACAAGGGAAGCCCAAGAATACTGGAGTGGGTAGCCCAGTGGATCTTCCCAACCCAGGAATTGAACCAGGGTCTCCTGCATTGCAGGCAGATTCTTTACCAGCTAAGGAGATGTTTAAAAAGAGAAAGAAGGAAAATAGAAACAATCTCGTCACCCCTTCATCCCACTAAACTACATATGAAAGTGTGGTGTTTTGCATCTCACTCCTCACTTGTGCTCCTTAAAGTGGTACCACCTCTTTACAAGGAGGGGACATAGTCAAGCAGCTGTCATCACTGATCGTCCAAAGTCAGAGGAAAACTCCGGCACTGGTGGGTGATACATCAAGTAAACTGCAGGTAGCATCGAGGAATAAAAATATCATTAGAATCTTTTCACCATACTGTTAGCATTCTCACTATGAAGCTGAGGTCAATATGAATTAAATTCATCAGGCTTTCATTCAGAAGGTAACGGGGGAAAAGTTAATATGCTTAAAGTTTAATAGATTGGAATTCACTAATAAGCAGCACATGTACTGGAAGTGGGAAAAAAAATCCTGGTGTGATAACAAATCCATTCTCTGTAGGACTTACCTATAACTTCGGCTGCCTATCACCCTCAAAACTGCACTGTCTTTGGTTTTACTGTATTCATTTCTGTCATCTACTCTATAACCTTAGAGGCAAGATAGACTTAAAAGATTGACATATCCATACTGACATCCTTTGTTTACACTAATGTCTGGAAAAGAGGTGCAATGAAATCTTCCAGGTCTCCCACTAGGCGCTCAGAAAGAATGGGCTCTTACAGCTTCCCTGTTGGATGTTAGCTCTCTGGAGTCAAAAAAAAAAAAAAAAATGACAAACAGAATAATTCACCTTTAAGTAGCTAAATCCGAGGCTGCTGCTGTTGAAAACCTCTGCCCCTAAATGGCTGTGATGGGTTCTGACTCCTCTTCCTGCGGAGGGTGTTAATAAAGACTTTTCTCAATTTTTAGTGGGCAATCAGGATGATTGATTCTTATTAGAAGGTAGTTTTTCTATGTCTCTAACTTCTGCATTTATGAAAAACATTTCTGTCACAACACCTTCTTGTAATGCTCTTTCTAGTCTCAGGGAACTCTTGGTTCAAAAGTGAAGGCTTAAAACACACCATTTGTTTCACTTGTATCAGAACTGTGATTTTAGTTCTAAGGCCTTCAGCAGAAAATGTGTTGGGGAAATGAGGAACACTCAGGAGAGCAAAAAGCAAGGGAGGGAGGAAAAGAAAAAAAGGGTCCATAATGTAAGCAAGCACAGGTTCAGCTGCTCGCCGCTCAACAGCCAGTAAATCGAGGAGCAGAATTCAGTAGAGAAGAAAGAACTTTATTCAGAAAAGCTGGTGATCTCGGGCAATGGTGGCCTCATGTCTGGAGACCAACTCCCAAGATTCTGCTCAGCCATGACAGCTTTTAAAGGGAAGTGAGGGGGAACAATCTCAGTTAATCATTGAGGCAGGAGGTCAGATTATTCATCATTTTCTTTTGCATGCAAGCCTGCTGACTTCTGCCCATTGTCCTTGGGATGCTGTCTTGCCAGCAGAGTCGGCCTGCAGATTTGCAAAGGGGAAGAAACTAAGGGTAGAGACCAAGCTTCTTTAACTATTAATTATTCCTTCTAAGCTAGGAAAGGAATCAACAGGTTAGGTTAAGTATATACTTGTGTACATGTGCTCAGTCGTGTCCGACTCTCTGTGACCCTATCGACTCTAGCCCAGGAGGCTCCTCTATCCATGGAATTTTCCAGGCAAGAATTCTAGTGTGGGTTGCCAATTCCTTCTCCAGGGGATCTTCCTAACCCAGGTATCAAACCCTAGTCTCCTGTATTAGCAGGCAGATTCTTGACTACTGCACCACCTGGGAAGCCCTAAGGTATATATTTAGGAAAGCAGAAATCAGGAGCTATGTTAAATGTTGCCTGATGATCTAATCTTTATGATTAAGGTCTAAGGAAACCAGGATGAGCAAACAAAAGGGACAAGGAAGCCGCTTCCAGTAAGGGGGTCAGAGTTTTTCTTACTCAATTACTTTACAATATTGTGATAGTTTTTGCCATACATCAACATGACTTTTAATCACCATTACACTTACGTACACGACGGATTATGGAACCGAGTCAGTCGCTTCAGTCATGTCCAACTCTTTGCTATCCCATGGACTGTAGCCCACCAGGCTATTCTGTCTGTGGGCAGCTCCAGGCAAAAAATACTGGAGTGGGTTGCCATTCCCTTCTCCAAGGGATTTTCCTGACCCAAGGTTTGAACCCAGGTCTCCTGCATTGCAGGTAGTTTCTTTACCATCTGAGCCACTAGGGAAGTCCAGAGAACGTCAAATGGTTTGGGGATTTCATCACTCAGAGCTCTGAAGCCTTTAGGTCAAAGGTGAAATGCTGCATTTAACCAAAAAGCAGCAGTATTTAACATACAATGCAGCATTTAAAAAGAAACCTGCCATCGAGTACTAATTTAAAGTAGATTCTGGGAGGAATCAAGTTTGCATCAGACATGAAACTGATGTATCTTTACTTACACCTCTTATTTAAAGTGTTCCCATTTTAAACTTAGTAGTAGTAGCCTTAGTCGCTGGGTCATATCCGACTCTTTAGGGCCTCACGGACTGCAGCCTGCCAGGGTCTTCTGTCCATGGGATTCTCCAGGCGAGAATACCGGAGCGGGTTGCCATAGAAGACGCATTTGAAAAGCTATCGGGAGGGGTGGCGTTTCTACCACTCTCCGAGAACGGTTCTCAGCCTGTGTCTCAAGGAGCAGCGTCCAGCCCCACCGGCCGGAGGCCCTGGTCCTGCAGTCAGGCTGCCTGCCTGCACAGTGGCCTGTCTGCTGCTTGCTTCGGGACCGTCATTTTCTG